AGGAGGGCCCCACTTATACAGCAGGTTAGGTTCCAGACTACTGCTATACAGGAGAGCCCCACTTATACAGCAGGTTAGGTTCCAGACTACTGCTGTACAGGAGGGCCCCACTTATACAGCAGGTTAGGTTCCAGGCTATTGCTGTACAGGAGGCCCCACTTATACAGCAGGTTAGGTTCCAGACTACTGCTGTACAGGAGGGCCCCACTTATACAGCAGGTTAGGTTCCAGGCTACTGCTGTACAGGAAGGCCCCACTTATACAGCAGGTTAGGTTCCAGACTACTGCTGTACAGGAGGGCCCCACTTATACAGCAGGTTAGGTTCCAGACTACTGCTATACAGGAGAGCCCCACTTATACAGCAGGTTAGGTTCCAGACTACTGCTGTACAGGAGGGCCCCACTTATACAGCAGGTTAGGTTCCAGCTACTGCTTACAGGAGGGCCCCACTTATACAGCAGGTTAGGTTCCAGGCTACTGCTGTACAGGAGGGCCCCACTTATACAGCAGGTTAGGTTCCAGACTACTGCTGTACAGGAGGGCCCCACTTATACAGCAGGTTAGGTTCCAGGCTACTGCTGTACAGGAGGCCCCACTTATACAGCAGGTTAGGTTCCAGGCTACTGCTGTACAGGAGGCCCCACTTATACAGCAGGTTAGGTTCCAGGCTACTGCTGTACAGGAGGGCCCCACTTATACAGCAGGTTAGGTTCCGGGACTACTGCTGTACAGGAGGGCCCCACTTATACAGCAGGTTAGGATCCAGGCTACTGCTGTACAGGAGGGCCCCACTTATACAGCAGGTTAGGTTCCAGGCTACTGCTGTACGTATGTTTGAGTCATACACACACAAAAAATCGGCGTTTTTATAGTTACCATGAAATGTGAGAAAACCCATTGATGAGAGAATAAGCTCAAGTAAACCAGGTGTATATGTATGTGTGTGTTAGCCTCCATCAGAGACCCTCTTCAGTAGGTGCAGTGCCCCTCAAGGAAGGTTCTTTGATGCTGGGGAGGGGCTCTCCATCCAAGGAATTAGACCTGTCCTTTCCCTTTTTTTGAATTGACCCTGAATTACCTCCCATTCCCCAGGTGCTGTATGACCTCTCTGGGCTTATCGCTTCTCCCAGGATATACAGTAACAGCAGTAGTAATATTTATATATATTTTATTATTATTATCACAATGGCCGATTCCCACCAAGGCAGGGTGGCCCGAAAAAGAAAAACTTTCACCATCATTCACTCCATCACTGTCTTGCCAGAAGGGTGCTTTACACTACAGTTTTTAAACTGCAACATTAACACCCCTCCTTCAGAGTGCAGGCGCTGTTAATGTTGCAGTTTAAAAACTGTAGTGTAAAGCACCCTTCTGGCAAGACAGTGATGGAGTGAATGATGGTGAAAGTTTTTCTTTTTTGGGCCACCTTGCTTGGTGGGAATCGGCCAGTGTGATAATAATAAAAAAAAAATATAAATATTACTACTGCTGTTACTGTATATCCTGGAAGAAGCGATAAGCCCAGAGAGGTCATACAGCACCTGGGGAATGGGAGGTAATTCAGGGTCAATTCAATTCAATTATAATAAAAATATTATTACAGTGGACCCCCACTTAACGCGCCTCCCAATGCGACCAATTATGTAAGTGTATTTATGTAAGTGCGTTTGTACGTGTATGCTTGGGGGTCTGAAATGGACTAATCTACTTCACAATATTCCTTATGGGAACAAATTCGGTCAGTACTGGCACCTGAACATACTTCTGGAATGAAAAAAATATCGTTAATCGGGGGTCCACTGTATTTTTATAATACAGTGGAACCTCAGTACTTGAACAGCTCCGTACTCGATTAGTATTCAAATGTTTTGTTTGGCAAACAAATCGCTTGGTAGTTGACCGTTTGCTCAGCAATTGACCAAACAAACACAACCTGCCATAACTTCACTGTAAACTATTTTGTGTTTCCTTGCATTTCTTTTTTTTTATTATTATTTGTTTAAATAAGTCACCATGGGGCCTAAGAGGGTTAATGATAACAGCCAACCACTAAGAAAATTGGTTGGGAAAAATTTGCTCAGTACTTGGACAGATCGGTACTCAGACAGCCTTTGGAACGAATTAAGTTCGAGTGCCAAGGTTCCACTGTAGATGTGAGGATAAAATGTGCATATCTCATTTGCCTTTTTTTTTTTTATTCTGTTCAAATGGTTCCACACTTATCATTTGATTATTGTTTATGACACTTTAATCCAAGCGCTTATATAGAATTATCATTATATATGTATCATTTGCAATTAACTACTGTAACTACCCAGCTCAATAGTTTATATCAAGGCCTATGCTCAAATTCTATATAGTATCCATCTAAGACAAGTGCCTGGCATAGGGCCAAGCTCAAAACTCATCAAAGATAAAAGTAAGGTAAGTGTAGCTGGAATCTATATACGTATGTATATGTATATATATATATATACAGTGGAACCCCGGATAACGATCAGCTCCCAACTCGACCAGTTATGTAAGTTTATTTTTGTAAGTGCTTTTGTAGGTGTATTTTTAGGGGTCTGAAATGGACTAATCTAATTCACAATATTTCTTATGGGAACAAATTCGGTCTATAACGGCACCCAAACAGACTTCTGGATTGAAATAATATCGTTATGCGGGGGTCCACTGTATATATATTTTTTTGAGAATGTTGCAGTGTAATTAGCTGTACAGAATTTATGCGCCGTATCACTCACACTGGTTTAGCATTTCTTGTTGAATATAATGTTGATCATTGATATACAGTGCAATACATATTTAACTTTGATGAGTAAGACAAATGTGCAACAGTTGGTATCTTTATTATTGAAACACTTCACTACACAGTAGACTTCTTCAGTTAAATAGAGAGGCAGCAGGTGTAGTAGTGACGCCTACTGTGTAGGCAACAATAAAGACACGCGGCTGTTGCACGCGCGTCGCACTCCTCAACCTCTCGGTATTTTATGCCATTTAACTCTGCCCACCATAACCTGATTTTGGCTTGTCTCACTTTTTTCATCCCGTGTCGTTTCTTTCCCTTAAAGCCACGACTTCTTCTGTCAGGTGAACCACTTCAATGTAGATTTAAGGTAGGACACATTCCACAACTTACGTTGACATCTCCATCTTTGACAGTACCTCTGACACACTTGCATCTCATGTGAACCTTAGCTGCATGTTTTCTATATTTTATCTCAGCGATTAATGATGCCAAGAGCCCGGAAGAAGAGCGGGAATCACAGTACAGGGGCTGGAACGAATGGTCTGTTTTGGACTGTTACTGTCACATTGCCATTGACTTGAATGGTCCAGGAGGAATCAAAACTGTCGCATTTATGTGTCCAACTTGTGGGCTTATGTGGCGAGTCAAAATGTACGTATTAAAGAATTGGTCATTTAAGAGGTCAGTTGTGAAGTAAATGAAGTACAATAGTACAATTGCTGTACAAGTACAGTAGTACAAGTACTGTACAAGTAGAGTAGCACTGTACAAGTGCAGTACAAGTACAGTACAAGTACAGTACAAGTACAGTACAAGTACAGTACAAGTACAGGAGGTCCCAAGTTACACACATCAACCAGTGGGGCAGTTAGAAACCAGTAAAATTTCAACCACTGCCAAGGTGCAGTTTATACATGTTTCAAACACACTGCCAAGCTGCAGTTTATACGTGTTTCAAACACACTGCCAAGCTGCAGTTTATGTGTGTTTCAAACACACTGCCAAGCTGCAGTTTATACATGTTTCAAACACACTGCCAAGCTGCAGTTTATGTGTGTTTCAAACACACTGCCAAGCTGCAGTTTATATGTGTGCCAAACACGCTGCCAAGCTGCAGTTTATATGTGTGCCAAACACACTGCCAAGCTGCAGTTTATATGTGTGCCAAACACACTGCCAAGCTGCAGTTTATATGTGTGCCAAACACACTGCCAAGCTGCAGTTTATATGTGTGCCAAACACACTGCCAAGCTGCAGTTTATATGTGTGCCAAACACACTGCCAAGCTGCAGTTTATGTGTGTGCCAAACACACTGCCAAGCTGCAGTTTATGTGTGTGCCAAACACACTGCCAAGCGCAGTTTAGGGTGTGTGCCAAACACACTCCCAAGCTGTAGTTTTGTGTGTATGCCAAACACACTCCCAAAGCTGCAGTTATGTGTGTGCCAAACCACTCCCAAAGCTGCTTTTTATGTGTGTGCCAAACACACTGCCAAGCTGCAGTTTATGTGTGTGCCAAACACACTGCAAGCTGCAGTTTATACGTGTTTCAAACACACTGCCAAGCTGCAGTTTATACTTGCATTAAACAAAGCCATCCTTTGTTCAGTGTTTTTCTGTACAAATAACATATACATAAGGTGTACAACCAGGACTGTAACTCTTGTAGTATGGTGGAGACCTGTAATAGATGGTATGGGACCTGAAATAGATGGTATGGGACCTGTAATAGATGGTATGGGACCTGTAATAGATGGTATGGGACCTGTAATAGATGGTATGGGACCTGTAATAGATGGTATGGGGCCTGTAATAGATGGTATGGGACCTGTAATAGATGGTATGGGGCCTGTAATAGATGGTATGGGACCTGTAATAATAGATGGCATGGGACCTGTAATAGATGGTATGGGACCTGTAATAATAGATGGTATGGGGCCTGTAATAGATGATATGGGACCTGTAATAGATGGTATGGGACCTGTAATAGATGGTATGGGACCTGTAATAATAGATGGTATGGGACCTGTAATAGATGGTATGGGACCTGTAATAATAGATGGTATGGGGCCTGTAATAGATGGTATGGGACCTGTAATAATAGATGGTATGAGGCCTGTAATAGATGGTATGGGACCTGTAATAGATGGTATGGGACCTGTAATAGATGGTATGGGGCCTGTAATAATAGATGGTATGTAACCTGTAATAATAGATTGTATGGGACCTGTAATAATAGATGGTATGGGACCTGTAATAGATGGTATGGGACCTGTAATAGATGGTATGGGACCTGTAATAGATGGTATGGGACCTGTAATAATAGATGGTATGGGACCTGTAATAGATGGTATGGGACCTGTAACAGATGGTATGGGACCTGTAATAATAGATGGTATGGGGCCTGTAATAGATGGTATGGGACCTGTAATAATAGATGGTATGGGACCTGTAATAGATGTATGGGACCTGTAATAATAGATGGTATGGGACCTGTAATAATAGATGGTATGGGACCTGTAATAGATGTATGGGACCTGTAATAATAGATGGTATGGGACCTGTAATAATAGATTTTATGGTACCTGTAATAATAGATGATATGGGACCTGTAATAATAGATTGTATGGGACCTGTAATAATAGATAGTATGGAACTTGTAATAGATGGTATGGGACCTGTAATAGATGTATGGGACCTGTAATAATAGATGGTATGGGACCTGTAATAATAGATGTATGGGACCTGTAATAGATGTATGGGACCTGTAATAATAGATTGTATGGGACCTGTAATAATAGATAGTATGGGACCTGTAATAGATGTATGGGACCTGTAATAATAGATGGTATGGGACCTGTAATAATAGATGTATGGGACCTGTAATAATAGATGGTATGGGACCTGTAATAGATGTGTGGGACCTGTAATAGATGTATGGGACCTGTAGTAATAGATGGTATGGGACCTGTAATAATAGATGTATGGGACCTGTAATAGATGTATGGGACCTGTAATAATAGATTGTATGGGACCTGTAATAATAGATAGTATGGGACTTGTAATAGATGGTATGGGACCTGTAATAGATGTATGGGACCTGTAATAATAGATGGTATGGGACCTGTAATAATAGATGTATGGGACCTGTAATAATAGATGGTATGGGACCTGTAATAGATGTGTGGGACCTGTAATAGATGTATGGAACCTGTAGTAATAGATTGTATGGGACCTGTAATAATAGATAGTATGGGACTTGTAATAGATGGTATGGGACCTGTAATAGATGTGTGGGACCTGTAATAATAGATGGTATGGGACCTGTAATAGATGTATGGGACCTGTAAAAATAGATGTATGGGACCTGTAATAATAGATGGTATGGGACCTGTAATAGATGTATGGGACCTGTAATAATAGATGGTATGGGACCTGTAATAGATGTATGGGACCTGTAATAGATGTATGGGACCTGTAATAATAGATGTATGGGACCTGTAATAGATGTATGGGACCTGTAATAGATGTATGGGACCTGTAATAATAGATGGTATGAGAATACCAAGAAGTTAGGTTGATGAAGACCATAGGTGAAGTTTATAACTTTAAGATTAGACTGAGCCTACACAAAATGCTTTTATCAAGTCTGATTATCAGACTTTTTAAGTTTCCAATGACTGATTACGTATCTTTTATCAACTACAAATTGGGGGACCTCTACTATTGTACAAGTACTGTACTGTACACTTGCTGTACAGGTCTCTTGCCATGAAAGATGAACACCGACTGCCGGTGTTGTACATTCCCTTGTTTTGCTTGCCAATATTAACTCTTGGTTAATAAGGATAAGAAGGAAAGAATTTAGTGCAGTGAAATGTGTTTGTGTATAATTATACCTGTTACCTGTGTGTGTGGGGGGGTCTGTGTATGTGTAGGGGGCTGTGTGTTGTGTGGGGCTGTGTGTGTTGGGGCTGTGTGTGGGGGGCCATGTGTGTGTGTGTGTGTGTGTGTGTGTGGAGGGGCTGTGTGTGGGGTTGTGTGTGTGTGTATGTGGCTGTACTCACCTAGTTGTGGTTGCAGGGGTTGAGTCATCGCTCATGTATGTGTGTGTGGCTGTGTGTGTGAGAGAGAAATTACCTATTTTTGATGACCTTGAAGGTACGGAAGTAAAGCTAAGGTCAGGGTGACCCATCATCGGTGTTTAAATTTATTTCACAATTTTTTAAAGTTTCCATCTCTTGCAGCTGTCATTATCATCTCTCGAAGTTTATGCATTGTCATTATACACTGTGAAGAACACTCAAACCTCATTATAACAGACTTTTAATTAAGTGCTAAACCCACGTGGGTCAGTCAGCGTGTCATGTCGGGGGGTATTGGAATGAATGATTACTTGGGGTTTATGGGAGTAAGGGCAGTCAGTAGGTAGGGGATTGGCTAGGAGAGGTGAGTCGAGTGACGCGCGGCGTAGGTAATGACAGGTTAGTGGTGACCACCACGACACTCTCATTAACTCTACACTCCACACTACTCACCCTCTCACTACTTGAAATAAAAAAAATAAAAGAATAAATAACGGGGACAGTGAATATTACTATTCTACTCAAACACAGTTTATTATTAAGTCCTTGTACAATAATATATTTGGGAACAGGAGTACATTATTGGGGTTTAGATAAATGGGGTGGTACACATAAGCAGTGAGACAGGGAATACAATTAGCTTGGCGAAACAGAATATAACTTACAATATAGTTCAGAGGACAGTTCATCACAGGAACTAAGCCATAGGTCCCAAGACCTACACAGCACGAGTACTGCACCAAGCCAGTACTCTGCCAAGTGCCTCCAACAGTCTCCTCCAGAGACTTCAGCAGCCTTCTCCCGAGCCCTGCACCCCAGCAGCAGCTCCTCTCGAAGTCTCTGCTCGGAGCTCTGCACCCCAGCAGCAGCTCCGCTCGAAGTCTCTGCTCAGGAGCTCTGCACCCCAGCAGCAGCTCCTCTCGAAGTCTCTGCTCGGAGCTCTGCACCCCAGCAGCAGCTCCGCTCGAAGTCTCTGCTCAGGAGCTCTGCACCCCAGCAGCAGCTCCTCTCGAAGTCTCTGCTCGGAGCTCTGCACCCCAGCAGCAGCTCCGCTTGAAGTCTCTGCTCAGGAGCTCTGCACCCCAGCAGCAGCTCCTCTCGAAGTCTCTGCTCAGGAGCCCTGCACCCCAGCAGCAGCTCCTCTCGAAGTCTCTGCTCGGAGTTCTGCACCCCAGCAGCAGCTCCTCTCGAAGTCTCTGCTCGGAGCTCTGCACCCCAGCAGCAGCTCCGCTCGAAGTCTCTGCTCAGGAGCTCTGCACCCCAGCAGCAGCTCCGCTCGAAGTCTCTGCTCAGGAGCTCTGCACCCCAGCAGCAGCTCCGCTCGAAGTCTCTCGCTCTCAAGCAGAGCGCTCATTGCATCACCCAGCAGCAGCTCCGCTCGAAGTCTCTGCTCAGGAGCTCTGCACCCCAGCAGCAGCTCCGCTCGAATCTCCTGATCATGCTCTTCCTTGGGCTTTTATGGTGGTCCAAGCACCCTCCACAACCACGTGTACGACCTGACGCCTAGGTCTGACGCCGTCAAGAACAAAAGACCTCAGACGTGGGCGTGGCTACAGACGTTTGCCAAGGCAAGGTGTGACCATATAATTGGTTAAATTAGGTCTCCCAAGAGACCTCACAAGCCCAGCTGAACTACATCACAAGCGCAAGACGTGGTGGAAGCTTGATCCTCTGTCTGCAGAGCACAAGACAGACGTATTTCCTAGTTATTCTCACCTAGATGTCTCATTATTACAGACTAAGTGTTTATTCCTTCAAAATAATGATAAAAGTAGCTTACTAATTCTCTTCCATCTATCCACAAGCCTACCAATTCTCTCTCTAGGTCTATTCACAAGCCTACCAATTCTCTCTTCAGGTCTATCCACAAGCCTACCAATTCTCTCTTCAGGTCTATCCACAAGCCTACCAATTCTCTCTTCAGGTCTATCCACAAGCCTACCAATTCTCTCTTCAGGTCTATCCACAAGCCTACCAATTCTCTCTTCAGGTCTATCCACAAGCCTACCAATTCTCTCTTCAGGTCTATCCACAAGCCTACCAATTCTCTCTTCAGGTCTATTCACAAGCCTACCAATTCTCTCTTCAGGTCTATCCACAAGCTTACCAATTCTCTCTTCAGGTCTATTCACAAGCCTACCAATTCTCTCTTCAGGTCTATCCACAAACCTACCAATTCTCTCTCTAGGTCTATTCACAAGCCTACCAATTCTCTCTTCAGGTCTATCCACAAGCCTACCAATTCTCTCTTCAGGCCTATCCACAAGCCTACCAATTCTCTCTTCAGGTCTATCCAGAAGGCTACCAATTCTCTCTCCAGGTCTATCCACAAGCCTACCAATTCTCTCTTCAGGTCTATCCACAAGCCTACCAATTCTCTCTTCAGGTCTATCCACAAGCCTACCAATTCTCTCTTCAGGTCTATCCACAAGCCTACCAATTCTCCTTCAGGTCTATCCACAAGCCTACCAATTCTCTCTTCAGGTCTATCCACAAGCCTACCATTCTCTCTTCAGGTCTATTCACAAGCCTACCAATTCTCTCTTCAGGTCTATCCAGCAAGCCTACCAATTCTCTCTTCAGGTCTATCCACAAGCCTACCCAATTCTCTGCTCTGAGTCTTCACAAGCCACCCCCAATTCTCTCTTCAGGATCTATCCACAAGCCCCAATTCTCTCTCTAGGTCTACCCACAGGCTACCAATCCCTCAATTCAGTCTATCAAAGCCTACCAATTCTTTTCATGGTGTCCAAGCCTCACACCACTTGCTCACCTACTAGGTCTGACCCAACAAGCCTCAACTACTGTACAGACTTTCCAACAAGCTACCAATTTGTTAAATTAGGTCTTCCACAAGCCTCACAATCTCCCTCATCATCACAACAAGCTGTGGAAGTTTCCTCTGTCTGCAGAGCACAAGCACTACCATTATCTCACTAGTTCCAAACAACTAATTTTATTCTTCAGATATGATCACAAGCTTACAATTCTCCTTCCATCTATCCACAAGCCTACCAATTCTATCTTCAGGTCTATCCACAAGCCTACCAATTCTCTCTCTAGGTCTATCCACAAGGCTACCAATTCTCTCTTCAGGTCTATCCACAAGCCTACCAATTCTCCTTCAGGTCTATCCACAAGGCTACCAATTCTCTCTTCAGGTCTATCCACAAGCCTACCAATTCTCTCTTCAGGTCTATCCACAAGCCTACCAATTCTCCCTTCAGGTCTATCCACAAGCCTACCAATTTCTCTTCAGGTCTATCCACAAGCCTACCAATTCTATCTTCAGGTCTATCCACAAGCCTACCAATTCTCTCTTCAGGTCTATCCACAAGCCTACCAATTCTCCCTTCAGGTCTATCCACAAGCCTACCAATTCTATC